TTTTTTTTTTCACCCAAATCGTCACTTAGCATGGTTTTGCACTCACCCCTTCAATTAATTCAACAGGACTGAGTGACATCAAATCAAGACGGCTTGCTTTCTCCTTTTTCTCTCAACTGCTAGCTAACACTGGCACCATACCCTTTTTTCTGGTAAATTGCAGGTTAATTCAACTTAACTGACAGTTCAGTTCATCGTTTTCCGCAAGTTTTTGATCGATGGAATCCAGGTGCTGCCAGTGAAGTTTTGGAGTACGACCAGTATTTGTTTTGACTGCAATGGACAAATTGGTCCTTCTTCGCAACAGTTCTTCTATTGATCTTCACATCATCTTTACCTAGTAATTTTCATACAGTTTCAAACATTTTCAGTTTCCTTGCTTCAACAAGGACAAAACCCCTTAATTTACGTATTTCGATGCTACCACTATCTTCCATGACCTACATAACAACTGCTCGCACTTTCGATCCCTTAGGGAAATGTTGACCGTGGGAACAGTTAAATTTCATTGGCTTTTCCATTTAATTCAATTACATTTGTTGACTTGTTTTCAACCAACAACAAATAATTCCATCCTTACTTAGCCAAAGTTTAAATTGTCTGAAATTGATAGAAAAAAAGTTCTCTAGCCAGAAAAATTGCAGCCGCTCCCTCCCATCAAAAAAACCGGGGAGAGAGAGACATCTGTTTATCATCATCGCTTATCATGTTTCGGAATTATTTTGCATAAATTAAAATTAGTGTCAAACTGTGGGGTTGACAGGGCAACACAACTCCTACAGTTCATCGCGTTTGTGCATTTGCTGTTCTCTTTTGATTTTGGATTTCTTGACCTTTCTTTGTTTCTCGCGTGTTGCTGAAGGGGACTGTATGCCATGTTTTTTCAGGAGGAATTTTATGTAGAGTGGAGCCGTTTGACTGTGCAATAGTAACTTTTTTTCAATGAGGTCATTGGTCTACATGATTTCCACTGTTATCTGCATGTTGTTTTGCAGAATTTGACACCTCTGTGCTGTACTTTGTTTAGGCTCAACAGCTATTCTATTGCAAGATATGTTTTAAGCTCTCTTTAGAGACAAAGTTTGAAAAATAATATTCTGTGAACTTGTTGCTTATTTACATTATATATTGTGGCGCCGGGCCTGGCTGTTTAATTAGACATGTTTGCAATTACAGTATGTTGCTTCTTATCACAGATATCATATTCGTTGATGTCTCGAGCAAACATGGAGAGTTGACTAAAGCTATTCGTTTGTCTAGACATGTTCTTAGGTTTCTTACATCAATTTGATGGAGCTTTTGCCTCTCGCGCTCAATGTTTGGGTTTATACCTCCTTTGTTCGCTCCGACTGACACCACATGGATCAAATGTAGCTGCTTACACATGACAGCGATCACAATATTATTTTGAATTAACTATTTCATTTCTTTTACCTACTACTGTTATAAGAAACATTGTGTAGGTTTTAGCTAATTTGTTTTTTCTCATATAGTAATGTAAGCGCATTAAGTTTTCTAAATGCGCCCAAAAAACTTATTATTATTATTATTATTATTATTATTCTATCAATTCACTTATCCTTTCATTGTATATTTTAGCTCAAGCCTAAAATTGTGCATTACAGACCAAGAAATACCATGCAATATTTTGATGTTAAGAACAAAACAAAACCTTTTCATGACGCCAAGCACTTTCGGCAGGCTGTAAACATTTTCAGTTATTTTTGGATGATTTTATTCTGAGTGTGTTTTCCAATTAATTGGTTTGGGGTTTCTGACAAAAATCTCTTGGGTGTTGTGGTCTAATTCTGAACAATACAAGGCAATAATGAAGCAAACAAAGGCAATTAAAAGTATGAAGATGCAGTCATTGAATAACGCACAATTCCCTAGGTTTCGTCTCGTGCTTTGTTGTTCTTCCCAAGGTGGATGCACAGGCAAACCTCATGCACTGCCCACGCATCCACCTCGTGAAACCTGCTGCTGATGTGCATATGACTTCAGTTGGTACTGTACTTAATGACGATACATACATGTAAACTTGTAAGCAAAAATGTAGACGCTTTAAGAAATTAACTCATGTACCTTTGATGTGAACACAGTTGCAAAATAATTTTTTCATTGCCAGTTAAATTTAAAATCTAACTTTAAACGAGTGATAAATTTTGCCTATTGTTGAAATAGCTTTATGAATGCAAAATAGCCTTTTGGCTTTTGATTAATACTGACAGTTGTGTGCTCTCTGTATACAGGTTGTTTATGATGACCTAGTTCTCTATATAAATGCAAAAACTGAACAGGACAGAAAAGAATGGGTAGAGGCTATTCAAGATGGTATGTAGTTAAGTTAATTTATTTCAGTAATAGAATAATAAAATCTTGATTTAATTACATCTAGCTGATAGGAAACTGAATCACTTAAGGTGGCTTACTACAGTTTTGATGGATTATAACAGCCCAACTTCTACCTTGTTTAAAAAATGTTCCAAGATGTTTTCCCCTTCTCTATTTATTGTTTGCTTAAGTCTTTGCCATTCTATTTGAAACTTGAAAAATTAAACATCAACAAATGGCCAAAAGGAACGACTAAGGACCTGAGGAGAGACTGGGTACTAGAAGGTTAAATCACATTTTTCTCAAAATCTACCGGTATGACCCCACCTCAAAATTTCAGGAGTAAGAAATTAGCCCTGATTTAACATTCATGCAAAGTAAAATGAAAATCTGTAAGACAGTTTTTCGCAAACTAAGAAAATGTGAGATCAAAAATAGCTCAAAATCTGTCTTACAGATTTTTTTTAAAATTTTGGCTCTAGACATGATTCACCCCTGCAAATTAGCTGTGAAAATTTCATCATGGGTTGTATGGTAGGTTTTCAAGCAATCCCTGATCAAAGACTAGCTTTTACAACCTTTCTGAGAATTGAATTGCGCATGCCCCTTATTTAAGTGTGTGCTCATGTGATGACATGTATCACATGCGAGAAAGCAAGAGTAAATTAGAGCTGTTTTACCGGTTATTTATAGTAAGAGCTTTTTTTGCCATATTTTTTTGGCCCTAGGCGGAGACACATGTTTGAATGGAGTTTGAAACTATTGCTATGTATACCAAAGTGATGTAACACCTTTCAAGTGCTGAAGTTGTTTTCGTTTCTTCCTAGGGTTACTTGCATTATTTTTGCACCCATGATTAATACTGATGTCTGGCAGGCAATCGTAGTGCATGCTGCTGAGTCTCAGAAAAACTGTAGTAAGCCACCTTAAATGCCATCTTGCATCCATCTCAAAGTGCGGTGTAGCCTGGGATAGATACAAGATTGCACTTGTTTTGGTGAGCCTACCACAATCTTGGTTTTCATCCCAGGTAGTAATCATGTCTGATTTCACATGGCTGACACTGCTAAGAAGAAGTACAAAACACCACTCTGTTTTAAATACTAAAAAGATTCAAAGATTCAGTCAGAGGTAATTGTTTTGAGACCAATACAGAGAATATCACATCATTCATATCATTTATATTAGGCAAGGTATGTGCAGACCATTTTACATGTTAAGTTATAGGATTTGTTCCAAAATCTTTCCTATATAATTAATGTATTTTCAGTTTTGGAGTTTCTATTTTTTTCTAAAAAAATACCTCTTGGTCATTGCAAAACCTTATGTACTCAGTGGTGTTTGTATATCACACCAAAGAAATTGGGCTGCTATAAAGAGCCAATCAAATAGTTGTTTCTTTAGCCAGATAATGTCTGCGGAGTAGTAACCAGCACAGTGTTGAACCAATTTCTCAGAGAGAACTATTTTTGTTCCATCGTACAAATACTAGCAATATCAAGCAAACCTGCTGGATATCAAAACAAGCTGCACAGACGGTCTGTATACTGGCATTGTAGGCTGTCTGTCATGCACTGGTTAACTCCAGAGTAATGTTAGAGCAACAATACTATCTATCTATAACTAATAAGAAGAGGTGGTGAATGGTCCTTTAAAAGCCATGGGTCTTGAGATACCATGCAATCTAAGGGTGCTACCAAAAAAGTCTTTCAAAGCTAGAATTAAAAATGAATTACTAAGTATGCTGGACAAAGAAAATGCCTTTCACACATAAACAGATACATAAATAAACTGAGATCTTTTAAGTAATTAAAATCAATGTCTTCACTCATTATTCTCCCCTGATTTTATGTTAGTAGTCTTAATATACAGAAATGATAATAATATATTAACTATATCTCTAATCTTAAATTAATTGTTATTGTAATTGTTATTTAAGGTGGCTCCCTATAGTTTTTACGATCGCGCAAGCGCTGAGGAAGTAATCTGTACGTGCTCAAAGGAAAACATCAGTGTTTTTCGATATTTTTATTATGTCAACATGAGCAAAAAAAGCAAAACTGAGATTGAATTGTCTCGAGTTTCCTTGGGTGAAATTCTGTAAAATTTGGAAGATTGGTAGTAAATATTTTACTTTAGTCCGAGCTTGTTTTTCAGGGAAATCTATAAGACCAGATTTTTTGCAACAGTAAAAGACATAAATTTGAAAATATCGAAATAATTGCCTTTACAAACCCTACTTTTTTCTTGTTTAAAATTTGTATCCCACTGGAAGCGATGTGATGTAAAAATTTTGGAAGATTTCACCGAAGGAAATTCATGAAAATCACAAATAAAGCCATAAAAACAGTAAAAAACACATTTGTTTGAGCATTTATAATTTAAGACTAAATCCCAAAATTTTAACAGAGATGATAGCGAAACACCATTTAATCATTGCTTATTACATGTAATAAGTCTGAGAGGACTAGGTGTGGAAGCGAAAGCAAAAACAGCATTCAAAACATAACACTTACGCACTCAACGCCATAAATGATTACCCTATGGAGCCACCTTAATTAATCTAGTTATATTCATAAGCGATTAATGGCCCGCCTAGATTAGCACTTGCTATCCACAGGCCAAATAACATGCAATTTTAAAACGATGGAAAATAAAGATTATTGTTGTTGTCTTAAAAAATATTTGTATAATTTCACAGGTCTTGCAGTCTTGTTTTTCTAGCAATCAGGTGTGTCTCACAGTCTTGATTTTGACCAAGCTGCCTCGGAGTCTCAAATTTTTCAAAGACCTGATTTGTTTGTTTGTCTTGTTGTTTGTTTCAAGTTCACATTTAAAACACTTTGAAGTCTCCATCTTGCAATTTGGGAAGTCAAAATGTCTCAAGCTCGCATAGGAAAATGCTAGCCTCACCTTCTTGCAAAGTCTAGCATTTATCATTTACCATTTACCACCTCTATAAGATAAACTACATGTAGTTACATTATTATCTAATGTTAGCTTCAAAGAAATTTTAAGTGTTATTTTGTTGCTGATGTAAGAGTGCCGTGGTAACAAGTTCCTTCTCATGGAATACCACCCTGGAGTATTTATCAACAAGTGGACGTGCTGTGATGGCAAAGACAAGTGTACTCAAGGCTGTAAGGAGTCCTTTGCTGCACAAGAGAGAAATGGTTATCAAGGTGGTTCATATTTGATTGAATTATCATAAGCTTACTATGCAAAGTTTTGGCTTAGATCATGTGTTGCTGTGAGATTATATATTGAGCAAAAGGTCATTGAAGTTTTCAGAAATTTTGCTTCACTAAATGTAGAAACAGTTTTTGGGATTTGCCTTGTGTTGTTTTCCCTTTTCCTTTCTAGAGCTAGGTGGTTTGAGAGAATTTCTTTCAGGGTTTAATAAAATTATATTTAACTAGTGCTGTGTGGCTCTGCACTGGGTAATAATTTACAATTTTACCTTTGCATTACCCATTTCACATCTGCCTGATTGTTGCCAGTTTCATAATCTGTAATGTTTGCAAGTCGTTGATCTAACTACAAGTTGAAACGCCAGATTAACCTACAAGCTGTACTTGTAATTAAGCAAACAGCATTTTATAGGTGCAAAATTTTGTTCGGAGTGGTGTGTTTTTATCATGAACTGTCATCAAAAAAGTCAATAACATTCTCATGCAAAGATCACTTACAGATACTTCTTTCCTTTGTTATCTCAAGCATGTTTTTAAGGTATCAGTATACCCCAAAATTGACCACTTTTCAAAAAAAAAAATGTTTTTTGATTTTTCAGATAGACCTTATTACATACATACATAAACTTTATTTGAGTGTCGGCGTGTTTAGCTAAAGATAACTAATTGGAGACACTAACATAAATACAAATATAAAATATAAAAATACTAATATTATATAAAATATATAGGTAGTTAATAATTAAAAATATGTTTTATAGGTCTAACTAGTTAAAAAATAAGTTCATGATTACTTAAATTGGTTGTATTATTATTATGTTGAGCAAGCATAGCAGCTGCATCTTACATCCAACACATCTGTTAGGTTCATGGCCCAAACTGCTTTTTTAAATTCACGAAGGCTTGTTTTGTTGTGAAGGTCTTTGTCTACTTTTCCCCAGAGATAGGGTCCTATTGATCTTTCATTTTAAAAAAATTCGTTGAAGAAAGATTGCTTCTAAGCAAAGTTATAAACGAAAAACCTTTCTTTGCAGTAATTACCTCTAACTGATAGCTGTCAACGGGTTGTCACGAGAAGTACATTAATCAGGCCATAAAAGGGTGTTGGGGAACTTTTAGTTTTTGCTTTTTTCAAAAGTTGTGACTAAGTTAGTGAAGAGAATGCATGTTTTATCAACTCTCAAAATTTAACTGCGTATCAAAAATGAACCAGACAAGTAATCAAAATTTTCTGACACTTTTTTAAAGAAAGGTGCCAAGAAGACATAGTGATGTTGATCATGTCTTCTCACTCAAAACTGATTGGAAACAAACTTGATTAATGAACCTCTGTACTTTGGGAAATAGAGCACTATATTTGCAAAACCTTAACTTTTTTGATATTAATAAATATGCCATCACAATCTGCAATAATTCTTAAGCTTTCAGAAAATATATACTTTACTGGGGTTTGCATCAGATGTCCAACCGTAAAGCAGCACCAACAAATGATGGTTATATTGGGGTATACTGATACCTTGAAGGGACAGTGTCATGAGCCATACATGTGCAAGTTTGCTTTTTCCATGTATGGGCTTAAAATTCCTTTTTGCGGAGCATATTTATCCGTATTGTGTTCTTTTAGAACTAAGAGAAAGAGGATTTCTTGAAACTAAATAATTTTGAGGTCGATTTGCACTGAATAATCTTGAATTCGTTCCATGTTTCTGGCCCTGTTGGGTCGCAGCTTGATCAAGACAACTTCACAATTTGTCAGTGCCAATTGTTTCATGAATATACATAATTTTTCTCAAGCAAACTTCAAACTTGCATGACGTTTGGGAAGATACACTGTTCTGTAGAAATGTAAATGACGTGCAACAAAAATGTGTTCAAACTGCCATCCCATTTGTTCTATAGAAGTAAGGAACAACTAGTGGATAGTCAAAAAATGAACTCATTACAAGATACTTCAAATTAGATTCAGAAAATCACGTCATACACATCCACTGGGCAAGTTGCTGCATTGTTATACAGGTCTCTAGGATTTTATAGTCATGATTTTATAGTTATCATGTCATATGACCTGATTACTGCTAATATGGATCCCCACAAGGTAATACCCAAGTGTCCACTGTGTGTCACTGATGTTCTTGTTCTGATGGTCTTACCACATTTTGACGTCTTCTGTGATCAATTACTGAACAGATGCATGGCAACATGGAATCTATTTGTTTTATAACAATAAAGAAAGTCAAAAAAATGTTTATGACGTCATCTATATGCATCTGTCCTCCAATTGATCATAAGTAAAAACCAATCAAACTGTGAGAATAATTTGACATATTGTATAAACACTAAATACAGTCAGGTAATTGAATTGAAATTTATCTTTGATTTCTCACTTAGCCTTTTTAAACTGTTATATTTACATTTATATATTCATTTCCATCTTTGTTCTTTAAGGTGGAGGTTATACACAGAATGTGAGATCATCACATTTCATAACTTCACAGCCCTTGCCTCCAATCCCTGGTGCTGTGAGTATTATTTCGTGAAGATATATTGATGTTTGCTACATGTATAGGTGATACATGTAACTGTTTGACTGGAATGCATTATATAATAGTTATTACAGAAATTGATAAATAAATACTTATTGTATGAATGGGAGTGCAATCAAGGATTTACATGGCAAAACTGCAACCAATCCCTTGGTCCTCTCTTCCAGGGACCACCTAGCACACTTAAATTGTTCTAACTGACACCACCTTGTGCATCTTTCTGTTCAACTGGGATGTATTCTGTATGTACACATCTGTATATCTTTAATGATATATAAACATCATTAAACTCCTTTATGAATGGACTCCTATGATACCTCCAACGATTTTAGCCTTGAGGCCAAAACCTTGTGGGGACAACTATCCTTTATTATTTTTGTACCTACAAAAAAAATTATGTTCTTTGTTACAATCTGGTTACAGGGCTGGGGTGGGAGGCAATCTTGATAACTGGTTCATAAAAATTTAAGAACTCTATTTTCTCTTTGCAAAAAATAAAATATTGTTAAGTGTAATTTGTTTGCCATATAATGATAATAATAATAACTTTATTTAAGTGTCAAATGTATTTAGCACTTTTAAATTTGCTAATTGGGGACACTGTAAATAAGTAAACAAATATCTCAAATATAACATAAACAAACAAGAATCCCAACTGGTAATAATGTTGTAATGTTGTACATGTACACAGAGTGAAGCACCTCCACCACAGCCTAAAGAAAAGAAAGCACCTGAAAGGACTCCGGCTGAAGCTGTTGTGGCCATTTACGATTTCCTTGGAGTAGAACAGGGTGACTTATCTCTCAGCAAGGTTTTCATATTGTTTGATTCAATTATAAAACATGTAACACTGAATGACTGCTCCTAAGGGAAACAGTTTATTTAATTTGTTTCATCTCCACTTTAAAGCAAGTCTACACTGGCTTTTGCAGTCACAGATTTGTGTTTGATGTTTTGAGACACTAAATACTCAGTCCTTTTGTTACTCCGTACTGTTACCTACTACTATGACAGACCATGATAATCATATTTAATATTAAAATGATTGCATTAGCTATTTTTTGTAAGCTGCTGATGATACCTCCAGTGATTTTTGCCCTGTATGTATGTATTAAGCAACACAGCACTATGTTGGTTTGCTTTCAGAATCAGGTCCAATTTTTCAAAAGCCCCCCAAAATTTTGAAGCTGGCCAATTTTTGGCTTCATAATGTACTTGTCTGAGATAAGTGAAAAAAAAAAATTTGTCCTCTGTTTGCTACCAAATCTTAAAACTTGCAAATAACTACATACAGTATTGTGAGAAAGTAATGCAAACGATAATCTACGAATATTGGGATATATTGACGATTTTTGAATGACGTTTTGCTTGAAACAATATACTGCGAGATGTCGCAGAGCTATTGTTGTAACATCACGATATTTTGCTGAGTCCTGTGCAATTTATCGTTTGCACAGAGTGATTTGTCATTTGCACTGAGCAATATATCCTTTGCACCAAGTGAAATATCGTTTGCACCAGGCGACTTATCATTTGCTCCGAGCGACTTATCATTTGCTCAGAGCGATTTATTGTTTTCACCCAATGATGCAACCTATTGATTTATTGTTTTTGCCCAGAAAATTATTGTTGCAGCTTAGCAATATATCACTTCTGATGGTAACCCGTCGTTGTGCCAACATGTATTAGTTTGCCAAGGATCAGTTCGCTAACGTTGATTCGCCAATTCCCTGGATCATTTCGCCAAAGCTTATATGTCAGTTCACCAATTTCCAAAATACTTTTTCAAAAAGGTCTGAAATGTATTCACAAATTACCAGAGGAATAAGAGGTCACCTTTGATGTAAGATGACATGGGTGTTTGTAGGCTTGGGTATTTTGTAATTGCTCATTTCAGTCTCCCCAATCCCTCTCTCCCCATGCCATGTTGACAATGCCCCAGTTGATCCGGGCTGATCAACCAATGAAACTGACAATCGATAACAACCGATAGCAATCGATAACAATCGATAACAATTAATCGATTGATATCAGAAATCGATGAACAAAAATTTTGTTTTTCGATTCCATTGATTGTCATCAATTGTCATCGATTATCATCGATTGCCATTGATTGTCATCGATTATTATTGATTCCTATCGATTGTCATCAACCAGCAATTTCATCGACTTCCATATTTTTTGGGCGGGTATATAAAATACGTATCGTATCTGGCCTTGCCAAAGAAGTCACTAACCCAATAACCGTTACACCAGTTACTCCTACTTTAAAATTCTCACATAAGATTATCAACTTAAAAGCAGTTAATTCCCTGGGTTGATGTTATCCGCGATCATGTATCTCATCTCCTTTGACTGCAAAAGGGCCTAGTAGATGTTCAAAAAGATCTTCGGCAGAAAACGAGAAGTCGCCAGACACCCGAGACAAAACTGCTGTACTTCAGAGCATTAAACAAGACCTCAAAGCAGAGGAGGTTGAAGATTCCATTGACAGCGAGCTTGTGATCTTCATCACCAGTTTGTTGTTTTACAGTCAATTGCACTGTGCCAAGTTAGTTATTCTTTGAAGAAAAAAAGAAAAAAAAGGAAGTTACTACAACACGGGGTATCCGTATTTGGTAGCCCATCCAAGCGGGAATCCCACTGAACAGGGCTTAACTTTGTTGAGCGGACAAGACGAGGTACTGTCCTTGTGGTATTATGACTCTACGTTGGATATTTTTTTCTTTATTTCTAAGATCTCTCAAAAGGTAACAAAGAAAGAAAAAAATCACTGATATCACCTGGGAAAATGAAGAACGAAAAAAATAAGAATTGAAATAAATAAAACGGGAGATACCATTTTCTCTTTTTCTTTTTTTTTATAATTCTCCTTTTTCATTTTTCCGACGAGGATTGGAATGCTTCAGACAATAAGTTTCTTATCTTTCTTTAAAAAAACATGAACTAAACACGTTGAAATAAGGAAGTCAAGTGACTGTTTCAATTTTCTTTCCATTTTTGGTAGCTAAAGATCAAGCGGAGTAGAGTATGAACTGCCTGTAAAACCTTTTTATATGCATTTGCATAGTTAAAGAGCCATTGAGTCTAAATATATTTGTTTGATTACGCAGGTGGAAGCGTTGTTCATTGCATGCACTTTTTGCACTTGAGGCTCTCCTTGTCTTGCTCTGCTTTTGCGTCTTCAACTTTTTTCAGCGTCTCAAACGTTGTTGGTTTTACTTTAACATTTAAACATAAGTTGGAAAGTTTGACAATAGATATTGCACTTCTTTCTCAACAAATTATAGCTTTTTATAAATATAGCTTACAATTCCATTTCCTCAATTCATTCTGGATTCAAATTGGGCAACAATCGCGGCTAAGGCTAGCTAAACCAGGTCTCAACATTTTACTTATTGTTTCAGTTTGTTGATTGAAAAACTCTCTTTGGAATACCATGCACTACAAGGAGTTTTCACTCGCTCTACGATATATCGCTATGGCGATATTTCGGTAGAGCGATATATCATAATGAATCTGTTGCGCGCTGTACAAGATATCGCTGTGGCGATATTTTGCAAGCATGATATATCAGCAAGGTATCGAAGGGAAGCGCCAATATCTCCTTGAATTATCATTGCAACACGTTGCTTGTATGTGCAATATATCACCATGATATTATTGTGTTCCATGATAGGAGAACGCATACTAATCAGGTCATTCCCGCAAGTTTATGTCCTGCGATTTTCTGCGACTCCAGATGATTTCAGGGTTTGGATGCCATCTTGGACTNACCACCGCGAACTTTCGCATTTTTACCTGTGTGAACCTTAATTACCCAGAATTTTTTTTCCATATTATTACAGTAGAAACGACACTCTTTTGCACAGTACTTGTTTTAGTTCCCTATCGAACATACCAAGATGCGTTTTAAGCCAGTAAAACTCAGCAATTTTTGCCGTTTTCATAGGGGCTTGAAAAGGCAACTCTTCGACGGTCGACGAAACCCTTCAAAATGCTTGGAAAATTTAAAACTTCCTATTGTTAGATAGAAGAGAAGTAAAGCTCTTATGCTAAGTTTACCCCGTGTTCTAGTTTTGTACACTGTTTCAATGCAAATACCGACAACTTTGTCAATTTTCCAGATATTTTTTGCATATTTAATGAGGCAAAAAGCTTTATTTTCGTTTTTTGCGAATTTCTCGAAGACTAAATACTAAGAATATCAGAATAACATTTTCGAAAGTATCTCCCTAAAAGCGTTCTTAAGGCAAAGTTTCAGGATTTTCGATTTTTCGAACCTGGCCAGCCATTCTCGATATTTCCAGTCAGACTCTTAATGCTAAAGGTGGGAATAAAGAATGATTCGTTTCTTGTAATAAATGCATTTGGGCTTGAGTGCATTGTAAGTGAACTTTTCCTTCAATTTGTACTTTACTCAAATAACATGGCTCCTCTGTGATTACCATGTGGAGCATTGTTGTTCCGGACATCAAGGTTGCTACAGCATAATGCAAAATAAACCAGCAAGGCAGCATTCAAACCTTTATTTGGAGAGAAATAAAATTAACTTATCAGCCACGTATTTCTTCACCAGGCGGCAAGAAACTGTCTCATAGGAGATAATAACATTGTAAAAGTGGCGGATTTTGGGTTAGCAAGGTAAGTGTGGAATTTAGAACTTGCATGATTTAGTGTAAGTTGAAAAAGCATCTACAGAACAGAGCTGAGACGAGACACCGCCAGGGCTTCATTGCTCGTCATGAGTTATGAAAAAGGCAGCAGGATATATACCAAGCAATTTCATGTGAGCCGAGTTCATATGATGGCATGCTTGACTACACAGGCCGTTAGTTAACCAATGCTAAGAGAAAATAATGCCCATAGCGTGACAAGCCTTGGGAAATAATCAGGAACTACTGAAATGTCCCAAATAGAGTTGTACCGTTATAACGCTGCGGACCTGGGTTGAAGACCCCTTTTTAGGATTGTTGTACAAATGGGTGGTTCCCAACCGTAACACTTTGCTTTCAATTATTTATACATAGATTTAGCCAAGCCTAAAAACGGAGCTCCTGGGCCGGGTTGTTGAAAGCCCGATTAAGCCAACCCAGGATAAGCGGAACTATTTTGATTTGAGTTTTGTAACTTTGCGGTGAGGTTTTCTGTATATTGTTTGGCTTCTGTTTTGAGTTTACTTGTTAGCGTAAACTGCAGCTTCCTAACAACCCGGTCGTGATTACCACAAGTCAACCTGACACGAGCCCGTGATCCAATCGAAAACCAGCGCTTGGTCAGCGGTCAACTTCAAAAAACCACGACCTTGATGAGCTCTAAATTTGAGCCTGCGACATGGTTATGTGATACTAGTCAGCAGGTACTTTTTTTGACGGGTGTCAATTAACAAATTCATGTCAGTTTTTCATGCGTCTGTCCCAGTATTGATCATGAATTTCGCCATAACATTGTCAAAGTAGCTGTGGATCTGTAGACTGCTTTGACAATTTTATGACAAAATTCATTGTCAATAACAGGACAGACGTATGAAAAAGTGACTTCAATTTGTTTTTTACGATAACTAAGTGTCAAATTGACGCATCGCATAAATTACAAATTCGTGTGTGAAAATTAACCTATGAGCGCGCGAGAGAATTTCTGCAGTTATCGTAAAATTAACCATAACAGGGATGTTCAGTATCAAAGACGGACGCTATAAATTAAGGCTGCATGTCTCTCTCAACCTTTTTCGCTGGAGTATTGTCGCCATCTTGAGTGACTCCGCCGTTGCCGTCGTCGTCGTCGTCGTGCGCACGCGCCCACGAGCGATACCGCTAGCCATGATAACCACGAGAAAATCAATTCATGGGTTTCCTTTTCTTTCCTATATGAGTATGGGGCCCTTCTGGCCGCCGGAGCTCCGCTATGAATAAAGACAGGGCACCTAGAGAAGTATGAAGACAATTTATTACCTTAAGCCCACTCAGTCAGTCGTCCATCGATCAATACCTATAGTAGACTGATGATGATGTTGCTTTGGCAGATACGTCATCGATGATGAGTACACTGCATCAGAAGGCACCAAGTTTCCAATAAAATGGGCATCCCCTGAGGTCATTCTTTACACCAAGTTTAGCAGTAAATCGGACATCTGGGCTTTTGGTAAGAACTGTCTGTTTTAATCAATCTGTCAGTCAGTCACTCTGTCTGTCTGTCTGTCTTTCTTTCTGACTCTTTGTCAGTTAGTTACTCAGTTATTCCAGCCTTTAACTCTGTTAGATAGTGACACTAACGTGGGAACCAATAGGTGGAGGTCGACCATGTTTGCATGGTTGACTAACAGTTGGTTTGTGTAGTAGTTCCACCATAGTGGCAATCTAGTTGACCGTAGATAGAGTTTTCTGTTGAATTCTATTGAAAACTGCGCCATACGTCAGTCCTCTTCCTTGGTGATTTTCTTGAAGTAACTGTGGATCGTCACTGAGCAACCTGGACAATGTGAGGAGGAAATTTATCATCAATAGGAGGACATACACTAAAAGAAGTGACGTCATAACAGAATGCCAAAACGATCAGGTAGATTGCTAACAAGACACTGCCGAGAGGAATCGTGGAAAATTGAGAGAGAACCTGAATTTCTCGGCGCCAAAATGATTCCGAAACTCATGTCATAACGTTGAAACTACCTACAGCAACGCAAATATAAAATGCAGAAACTAAATTTCTAAAATTAACCTTCATTCCATTCGGAAATTCTTGAAAACCCGTTGAATTAGTACCAATTTCACTCCTCCAGCACAATTTAATACTTCGAAATGGTAAAATCAACATTCCACGTCAAACTATGCTAATGCGTGTTTTTCGCATTACAGTTAATCCAATCGATGAATTCACCGTCAGATTCCCTTTAGCCGGTTAATATCAGGAACTGACAACTTTGAACAAGGTGTATTTTAATGTCCGATTGTATCTGCTCTGCCTAAAATCTTGCAATATATTGATCGGTTTTGGACAGGTATTCTAACGTGGGAAATCTTCAGTGCGGGAAAGCAGCCTTATCCTGCCATCAACAATCAAGATGTGGTTCAGAAGGTCTGTGTTTGTGTAATTGCTTACCCAGTCCTAATGGGGCCGTAGATTGTGTAAACAGCTTTTGTTGAAGAAGGTGTCTAGGCCTGGAACTAGGGAAGGGGAACACGCCATGTTATTCAAGTAATTTAAGGATGGTTTACCCTATTTTAGTGAAATATAGCTATAGGTAAATTGCGATCGCGTTTAGGGGGATGGGTATAGAGCGGGTTTCACTTGAGTGTCAAAAAAACAAAAGTAAAGTTATCACTCTGGCCAGTAACAAAGGACACAGATAATGCAGTGAATCAATCAAAACTCGAAGCAGATACATGTAGCACATCATTAACTAGAATCGTAGACTTTCCCGGGTTTTGTGAACGCGGATTGGTTGGTCAAGATTCTATTACGTAGCTGAAATAGGGAAGCATTTCTTGCCATCGCTCTTTCGCGAAAACGTTATATTTTGTTTTCATGGCATTCCCCAGCGTTGACGATATTGAAGCTGCCTTGGACATTTGTTCAGCCATTTATGACTAGTATATCGGCTGCTCCGGCGTGTGGCGTGACAGTTTTCAGCAGCAAAATAAAACCTTTACCGTGACCATGACTGTGAAGCACTGCCGTCACCTTTACTTTTTAGTCGTAGTTCCATACAAAACCCTTTACCTGGTCTTATCATATCATTCAGCCTTTGAACTCTCTTCTTCAGATTGCGGCAATCATCAACAGCTCCTGCACTGCATGTGCAAAACAAACATCAGACAACTGAAATTTATGGTGTCTATTCATCTTAGAGTTAATTTACGCATAGTATTGTTTTGGTCGTCTCTGATCAAACCTCTCTATTATATTTGCTAACTACACTGTGACCAGTGGAATATTTCATTTGTATGTCTTTGTTGGGTTGAAAAATCGTCAAACTCGTAATATCTCGAACATACGACGGGACAAGGAAATTTTATGATGTTTCTACGTTGGAACTCACACTTAACTGTTTGCACGGACTAACAGAGTAAGGGCGTTTACCTGCGTTATATTTTGCAGGTCGTCAATGGTTACCGGCTTCAAAAACCCACCAGGTGTCCTGATGAGATGTACAGGATTATAGAAAGGTGCTGGCACGGGGTAGGTTCTCTTCAGCTTCTCTCAGTTTCCATGTACCACTTACTGTCACACATGCCATTTTCGTTGTTCTATCCACTGGTCACTATCAAGTAAATAAATGAACGAGACCTGCTAAGATAGCCACGAGATTTTTCCTTTGCATAGTGTTACCTGTCATTTAGTAATCAACTTGAGCTTTCTGACTCGGCGAGGACTGAATTATGGATTACGTACCTTGAAAAGCCGCATTGTAAGAAGAAGGCGAAGGCCAAAAAACTTTATTTTAGTGTCGGCGTAGTTAGGTTACGCAGCAGAGCTAAATATTCTACCTTGCCACCGCTAAATAGTCTACCTTGTCATCGCTGTGAGCGATCAGATCAGATAGCATTGCGCCTACGCGAACTCATTGCGTTGTCGCCTTCCGTAGCGAACGTTTCATAAGAGTTCCTATCAAGTTAAAATACCAAATCCCAGACAAAAGTCAAGGGACAAATCCTCCAACTAATTAGAGAAAGGAAGAAGTGTCACAGAGATTACAGAAAAAAAAACCGCTAGGAAACAAGAAGCTGATGAAATTCTGCTTCCCGCCTCCGGCGACATAACATGCTCTAATGAGCAGTTGTGGTCTCTTTGATAGTCAGTTGAGAGCGGATTCACCAGCTTCAGTGGGTCTCTCACTAAAACAATAAAAGATTGCTCTTCTACCATGGTAGGCGAAATTGAAAGTAGCTTGCTGGATTCAGATCTCAAAATCAGTGAGCCAGAGGAGCCAAGGGGGGAAAGGAGAAAAAGCGGAGTATCGAATGGTTGCTTGAGAAAAGGGAAAATGCCGCAGATGAGAAAACGGGGAAAGCGTGTAATGTGGATCCCAAAACTGCTGTACTTCACAGCATTAAACAATACCTCAAAGCAGAAGAGGTTGGAGATTCGATTGACAGCGAGCTCGCGATCTTCGTCACCAATTTGTTGACTACAGGTGTTGTCGATCACAAGCTGCATTAGAAGAAGAATAGAACAACACCCGGACAAACGAGATGCTTTCACACCTTGATGCGATTCCCGACCTTCAAGCAGGTAGAGCATCCAGACACTTTGACGAGAATATTGAATGACACTTCGTCAAGACATTTTTGTCAATTGCACAGCTGTGGGGCAAACCGGAAATTGATCTGTTTGCTTGATGCTCAACTCCCATCCAGATTATCCTATGCTACTTGGAAACCAGACCCTGGGGCCAGCTTTACAGATGCTTTTACAATACCTTGGTCTGATTATTATTTCTATGGATTTCCCCCTTAAAGCATAATCATAGGTTGTCTATAGAAGATCGAACAGGAGGAAGCGGAGGAAATGCTACTGGTACCCAACTGGCCTACACAACCTTGGTACACCACACCTATGCAGATGGTCACAGACTTCCCACGACTGTTGCCAGTGTAAAAAAGCACCCTGACGCATCCCTGCAATAAAGGATCATGCTATCCACTGTGGCTGAGACTAAATCTGATGGCGTGCAAGATATCCGGACTGTCATCCTGAAGCAGGGAATTTCTTAACGGAACTTATTCGTAATCTTGGAGACCAGAAACAAGCAAGCAGTATCAACCATATGTATTGATCCAACTACATTCCACTATGGGACAAGTATTAGAGTTTCTGCTAGGACTTTTCGTTGGGTTAAGACAGTTATGCAGCAGACTGGTATTGATACCACTAAGGTTAAGCCCCACAGCACTCATGCAGCTTCCACTTCAGCTACTCAACGAAATGCAGTCCCCCTGGAGAGCATACTGAGTGCCGCTGGATGGAAAAGTGGTTGTGGATTTGCAAAGTACTACAACAAGCCACGTGAAAGAAAATCCTCTCCGCACTGAGTGCTAACGCATTAATGAAAACTTTTATTGATTTCTTATGAACACTTTGTTTGTGTATCAGACAATGTTATGGTAAATAACAAATATACGTCGGATTTATAGTTGTGTTCACTTGAGATCTTTATGCATGCAATTACTTTACAAGTCTCAAGTGATCTCTCATCGCAGTGACAAGGTAAAAGTATAAAATTAAACGAAACTTACCTGGAAGTTGCAGTTTGATTTGGATTAAAATTAATGTGAAGATCAGTAAAACCTAGCAAAATCTTGATTACGTGACAGAAGCTTAAAACATTGCTGGTAAATAGCTTTTACATGAAGAGTTTGTTTTCGTGAAANTCAGAGAGGTTATTCTTTTATTTTGCTCCTCCATCTGCTTCTTTAACGCATCTCGATGTTCCTTACACTTGTCGCCATTGAAACCGCAAGACTTCTTTAATTCTGCTATATCGTTCTTAGCCGTTGCTTCAAACTCTTCAGGCTTGGCCGTTCTTGCTTTGAGGTCCGCCAAATTGGCCTCAATATTTCTGACGGAGCTTTCAATTGAATCAAGCTTACTCAGTCTCGCGATGATGGAGTTTAGTTGTCCTCCAAATTGTTCGATTTTGTTGAGAGCCTCCATGATTTCGTCGTTTGCCTCGTAGTCGCTGTTTGTGTTCTCGTCTGCTGTTTCTGCAAGATCTCAGAGTTTTTTTGCTTCATGCAAAGGCGAAGTCTCGTCTCCAAAACTTGTAGACGATCTATTTCTGCGTTTTCTGATAAGGTTAGGCAATTTTTCGGCCATGAAAAGCTTTTGGAAGGCGGACGGCTTTTAGTGTGCTCCTACTCCGCCATCACTCGGCCCGCTGTAACGGAACTTGCAAAATTAACAGGATTCAAATATTATGCAGACATTTATGCAATAACAGAAACAGCTATTTTTCGGTATAGGGGAATCAATGTTGTCTTCGTTGTAAATTAACGCTTACTGGTCCTTATTGCTAGATTTGCTTGTTTTTCAGGAGCCAGAGCAGAGACCTACCTTTGCAGCAGTTAACAAAAGCATTCTGGATTTTGTGGGTGAAGATTACGACGAAACCTCTGAATAAGGCCGTGCTGTGGCCGCAAAAATGGATAACGATGAATTTATACGGAAATTATTTTAGTATCTTTAGTCAGGAGAAATGCATTTTTGTAGTAAAGTGGCGTTGGATATTCTTGACGCATGGCGAATTTAATACGGTTACAACTATAGACATGAAATAGAGCTTGGTTTGAATTGAATCAGGTATTCACCTTAACTAGTTACAAGTGATCAAACTGCTTAAGATTGTTGAATGTGAAGAACTCTGACGCAGATTCTTGTTAGTTATTAAGAAGGAATCCACCAGAAGTTCAAGTAACAAGTGGACAAAAACTTTGTACCGAGATTAGTTACATCGTATTGCAAACTTCTGTGCGATTGTCTTAAATATCTCCCCAAAAGGATCATTTCTAGCAACACAAGTGTCGAAAAAAAATTTGAATTTACCTGTGTTTGCACAATTTATCTGAACTTTGAAATTTATTTTCTCGAGTTCCCATGGGAAATTGTTTTTGTTGTTATTTCAGAGAATATCTCTTTAGCTTTAAGAAAATGTAAAAAAGGACTGAAATACCTAGAATTATTCTGGTACTAAGTTTCTGTCCACTAAAAACTGTAATTGCTCGATCTCCTATCGGATTTCGTCTTAATTCTTTTTCTGGTGTTAAAATACTGACACTAGTTTGTTCAAAGTGGCTTCACTGCAGTTTTAATATCAAGAGAATACTGTTTCATACCAATAGAGACCAACAGTAAAGGTCAAAAATAATACAAAAAAAAATTATATTTTTGTAGCGGCTATTGTTGTAATACGGAATTTAGTTTGACCAGTGAACAATTTTTCTAACATTTATTACATGTATGGTAATGGTACTGGTTCGATCAAAAATAAATGTAACATTTGTCAAGCCAGACATTTTTCCAGATTTAGAACGTTTTTCTATAACAGTTTATAATTTAACGATGGCTACAGAGATTAGGAAAGCGTATTAAAATTAAAGTGAACCAAAAAGTACAGTCGAACTTCCACTAACGGCCACTTCTCTACAAACGCCACTATTTTTTGTCCCGGCGGACGGTCCATACCTTCACTCTTATTTTAACCTCTCTACAACCGCCACCTCTCCACAACGGCAACGGCCACTAAAGCGCGCCCCAAACTGCCAAAATAACCTCTCCACAACGGCCAACTAATCGACGTCTGACCGAGAGATGTTTACCAAACCCCGTGTAATAGGTCACGAAACTGGGTCCGTACAGCGCGTCGGCGGTCTCTGTTTCTGTTTGGTTTCTGTTTGATTGATTCATTTTGATTGCATTGGGTATTTCTATGCTATAGTCAAACAGGTGTCATACTACATTCCTACCTCCCCATAACGGCCACCTCTATAACAGCCATTTTCATCTGTCCCCAAGGTGGCCGTTGCAGAGAGGTTTGACTGTAGAACACTGTTACCCACATTCTTTTAACGTAAAGGTTATTACTTGTTCACAGTTTTCCGTCATCGTGACAAAGATATTTTTAAAACATTAAGTTACAGATTTTATTGAATCGAGAGGTTTCGTTTATTAATTAAGGAGCCCTTTGCGCTTGAATGGATCGCTAAATTAGGGTTGGTGAGTAAGCTAAACTCCAGACGTGCAATCCTCCTTGGTCTTCATAAGGTATAGGCCCTCCATCATAGCTTTCTATTGCCGTCTGTTGTTCGGGATCGTAGCCGCCCCACGCGCAACGCCAAATGGCAAAGTGATCCAGAGGTCTCATTGCTTCCACCAACGCAGAAACAAGAAAGTGTTCCATACTTTGTTATGTACATTTAACTGGTTCTTAGAATAATGGACTTGGAACGGTCTCGGGGGGTTGTGTTCAATGTTTCCCTTTTACAAGATTGGCATTCTATGTCACTTACATTTAAGGTATCCCCCCAAAATGCAAATCTTTGTAATCGGTAATCAAGTTTAAAACTGTGTTATTCGGGGTTTCAATCAGTTTATATTTCGGAGAAATAAGTCTATTGTGTCACCTCTTAACCACCGATCCTCCATCCTTGACCACCAGACCCTCACCCACCCNCCCCCCCATCCCCAAAAAAGACTAATCATACTCCTCCTTGTTATTCGTTACACGTACATGTATAGGATTTTAAAAGTTACTACGTGATGGAGCAAAATGGCGAGTAGCCAGGGTTAGAACAGGATGTAAATTGCGCCCAGGTCAGATAACAGTGATTACGATAAACAGGAAGACAAATCACCCTAAATTAAGAATACTTACGTAATTAAGTTTAACAATCGATGCATGAATACACTGACTGACCGAAGTTGACTGTGATCAGTGCTGCTAAGCCAAGTCCTCACGATTACTAAACTTGAGATCACAGAGAACTTTGAGGAAGGGGGTTGCGGTAAACACTTAAAGTAAGCTAGGCTAACCTTGATTTCTATTAGTATTGAGAAGATTCCGTTAGTTTGGGTAAAAACGTGTTTCATTACTTATGATTCATTCAGTTTGCTTGTTGTGAAGCCGAGTTCAATTTTGAATGAAGCTTTCACTTCATGGACGTTTCATTTTTCGGCCTCATTAAGGTCAGTACTACTTGCTCTGACAAAACAATCATCGGTAATTTAACTTTGGAGAACTTTGAAGATAGATAAACTTTCTTTTTCTTTTAAAGTGAACAACATGTAACTGATCCCATTACGACACTGTTTGAGTGAGGCAAGAATATTCATGATCACAACTAAGTAGTTGCGCACACTTTTTGAGGGAAATGTCAAGAACTGTTTTCCACTCGTGGCCTTTTTATTAGTACACAGTAGTTTGAACAATGAAGTCTCGCCTGAAAACGACGTTGCTCACTATAAAACAGTCACTTTCGGTTCACATATGTCAAGGGATCAAAAATCAGTCTTACGAAGAAGACTTCAGGCAGTGACCAATATAAACAATCACAAAAGACAAATAAAGCACTTACACGATTGCGGATTAAAAGAGTCCAGAAACAGGCGTGAACACAGTTTTTTCATCAAGTTTGGCGATAAATAGGTGCATGTTATAGATCTTTTTGTCGAACCAGCTCTTATTAAAAAGCGTTTAAAAGTAAAGGCTTGTTAGTAATGAGAATTCAACGCAAGTCCGCTCCTACACGGAAAAACCACTGAGCCGAGGTACCGATATGCTGGACATCCTTTCACGTCCTCATTTCACGACCGGTAGCTTCAGCAGGATGACCAAGCATATCAGTTTCACCAGAGACTCCTTCTGAACTACAACTTGGTTATTGATAACACTTGTTATGAAGCTCAATAATTTTATAGAATTTAGAATTAATGTTCGTGATGGCCAATTGTTTATCATTTTGACGCCACGACGTTAGTCATATGACTTCAAGTTGTCTATATTAGTTTATCATGATCAAGAGTACTTAAACTCCGAACAAAACCCCATCGATGGTAATTTTTGCGTTTGTCTACTGGCCTTGGTTTGTATCTCTAACAAAGATCCTGTCTAGGTTTCTTGTTCTCTAAACTTTATTTTCTATTGGTTGTTTCAAGAGCTTTGTAGTTCGCTTCTGAAAGTCGTGTAATAGTGTTCGGATTAGTATTCTAAAAAAGATATTTAATCCCCCAAGGTCAGTTCGTCTCGTGTGGCCCACACTTGGTTACCGACAGGCAGCTTAAGTGCGTGTGCATTTGTAGTCAAGTCATAGCACCTTTAATAGTAGTACACTAGTAGAAGATGTAGAAGTGGACGTAGAAGCAGCTGTACAAGTAAGACAGACTGAAGTCCGTGTAATGAAAGCCCCAGAGACCAGAGTTCGCTTGAACGACTGAGAGATTTCTGACACATTTAACTTTCCTCCATTTTTAACACCACTTACCACTAATTATTTTTTGCTATGTTTATTTAAGGTAAAAGGGACAGTGGCAGAACAATCCTGAATCGTCAGAGCACTTTTATCTCCCACGTACGGCCATTATAGCAACGTATTTTATACTAACTCAAACTATGAATAACTCCACTGAGGGTCCGTTGAATTCTTCATCTGCCGTTTGCTCAGAAACGGTGTCCGCAATGTTCACAATGAGTCTGTCTGTGATAAGTGCAGCAGCATTTATCGGAAATATCTTGGTGGCTATAACCTTTATCAAGACCCCAAGCCTCAGACTGACAAGTACCAACTACTTCATTGTCAACATGGCACTGTCGGATCTTCTTGGCCCGTTCTTCAATTGGCCGCTTTATGCCAGCGAAGGGATGCTAACAACTAACATCCTCATCAACGAGCCTTCAGCCAGCTTTGTTTGTAAAATAGCAATGTATCTCCGCACAGTGTCACAGACAGTTTCTGTCTTGAGCCTTGTGCTAATTGCTTTGGATAGATTTATCGCCATTGTTTTTCCGATGAAAATAACTGTGTTAAATGGGAAAAGTCGGGTGATTTTAATGTCGTTATCTTGGATAATACCCATACTTTTTGCCATACCTTTCATTCTGTTTGCCGGAATAATTCAAATTGGCCAGCATACATTTTGCAGATTCATGATGGATGAAGGAGCTTTAACAATTTTTAATGGCGTGGGTTTCTTCTTACTTTACCTGGTCCCTCTTATCTTGATAATAACTTTATACTCTGTGATTACGAGAGCTCTGAAGAAGAGACCGAGGCCAGGGTACTTGATAAAAGGTCATCAAAGCGAAAAAAGACGAAAACAGCATCAGAAGATTCTGAAAATCTTAGTAGCCATCGTGTTGGCATTTTTTGTTTGCTGGACTCCCCTTTGTGTCTATTTGTTTCTTAAAAAATTTTACCCAACACTGTTTGTGAAGGATACATGCCTGTTACTTGTAGGCTTCACTTTTTACATATGTCCTTCTCTAAGTACAGCAATTAACCCAGTTATTCTATTCGTGTTCAGTACAAACTATAATCAAGCCTTGAAAACTTTGTGTTTACCGATTTCGTCGCAGTTTAAATGTGGTTCTAAAACTCAGGGAACAGAAGGAATAACGGCAACACAAGAGTTAAATCTTGAAATGACGGACACTAAGTGTTTAGATTGAATTAGATTTAGCCACAGGTGTTTAGAGACCGCAAGAAAGAAAAAGATATGAGTGTTTTAAAGTGATAACTAAATAATTTGTTTTTGCGTGCAAGCCTCTAAAACTCTGGAGAGAGGATAATTTAGTGCCTCGAACTATGATTTTGACTGGATTTTGTTATTTTCATTTCTCTTCGGAAATAAGGAGAAAAATAACCAAGAAAACTATCTGGTGACTTTTGTTATACCCCAGGCCACCCCAGGCTATTGAACAGTAAGATACGAACCCTTTTCTGTCCACTCCACGTAATGAACGTAATGTACAATATTTTAATATGGAGAGCGTGTTCAAGTATTACTCATGACAATAGAGAATAAAGGCTAAAAGAGTTAATGTCAGTATTACAATAATCACTACCTTAATGTAATTTACAATAATGTTCCATAATGGAGAAATCAGCGATACATTACACACTACACAGTAGGTAGATATTTGCCAGAAATAAATAGCTAGGTATATATTACAACGTCAAGAAATCTTCAAAGTTTTGCCAAAATTACATTCCATCTTTTCCTTAAAGTTACTATATATTTCTCGGTTTCTAACTTAATTGTAGGTTTATACAGAGACATATATAGCGAAATCAGCATGGGTACACGCTTTTCTATATTCCCAAATAACAATTTCGCTAGAATTGTAAGATTATCACACTTTTAATTTCCTTAACGAGGGCAAATCACCAAGAGGTAAAACCTTTCCCAAAGCATTTGCACATAGCTGTTCTCGGCGAAAGCTGGAATTGTTCATTTTAAGGATAGCTCTAACTCATCAAACTTGATGCGAATTCTGCTTTGCTATACGCGGTAAGCATGATCGAGGATTGGCAATAGACCAAAATGACCCTCGCACTAGGTGTGACATACTTATTTAAGGACTATGGCTAAGACTTTTGCCACGACAAGTTGAATATATTGTCTTCGAAAAGCCCCCATGGGGAAAGATAATAAAGGATGTATGTATGTATGTAATTTTGTCCAGAACAAGCTAATTTTTTAAAATGTAGATACTTTGTTATATATATATTTTTTTCAATTTTACTGTAAGTTGGTCAAGGCTTGTAGAGCAGCCTGTTGCGAGCTTCTTAAGGGCATTAAATGCCTTACTTTGAGTGACGTAAAAATCTTACAACACTTTATCCTTACTGGTTTTGAATGTCTGGTAAATGGTCAATAAACCAATAATTACCCTTTTGTGGAAAGAAAGTATGCATTTCATTGGTTGAAGGCGTCCACAGAAAACCTCATTACACAACGATCGACCTCGATCGATTGATCGATCCGTCGACGATCAATCAATCATGCCACCTGACGTCGAATAAACGGTGAATGGTCAGTTTTTGAGGAAATAACCCTGGCCTATAATAAGACGATAAGCCTATAGTACTACATTTGTATTAGGGGAAGTTTTTCCGGCTTATATGAGGAATCAATGAATGTGGCAAGAGTTACTTTGGATTTGTTTCAGGGCTCTTTCCATTATGCCAAACCGACCGGTCAGAGATCAGTGGGAATACTCGTGGAAAATGGAACGAGTATAACCAATAGGAATGGCCCTTGTCATTTTTATTCCTTTTCCAAATTCCCTCATTAGTGCAAAGAACCGGTTTGTCAAAAATGGAACGTCGAATTTCGGTCGGAATATTCCAACCGAAATAAGTGGACAACCTCCAGAGGTGATCCTGAATATTCCGGTCGGAAGAAACCAAAAGGGACCTTTCCATTTGAATTCCGACTGAAATTTCCAGAATCTTTGGCATAACACGCGCGAGCGGCAAAGCGGCGGGAAGGAGTCTGGTGAAGAGGCGCCAAGAAAGTGGGTCTGCCTTGATCTATGTAATTTTTAGGCTTTTGTATATTATGCTTATATTTCCCCACTAAAATAATTCACCTTAATGCTCCATTTTTTCCCCTAAAATGCTCGGTCTCCCCCCAAAAGTCAGCTCATACATAGTGCTTTTTAAATTGCAATAATTTTAACGTTTAAACACAATAACAGCTCACGGTGTGTAAAAAAAAACGTATACGTAGTATAACTCAACGTATATAATAGTGTTAATACACCAAAAGATAATTCTCTAAATTATCTCTTAATTTGATTTGATTACCGCTGACCTCTCCTCAGTCTCCACTCGGCTGTGTTAGGGTGGCATCCGCATTTGAATTTTTTCTTATTTCAAGTTAAGTCTTCATTTCTCGTAAAAAATATTTTTATTTCTAAAGATTTTAAGGAAAACGACCAATTTTTTAAGTTTGAAAGACATGTTTCGACAGAACTTCTGTCATCTTCAGTTGAANAAGGTAGTTCTTTTTGAATATGGATAGCCTCCTTTTATTTCTATTTTCTGCCCGTACGTGGAAAAAAATTAATTTTCCGGAAAAATGCCACTAAAATGCTCGAATAATGCTTAATGCTTTTGCCTCACTAAAATGCTCGAAAAATGCTAGCATAAGGTACAAAAGCCTAGAAATTTTTCATTGTACTTCCCGTGAGAGAGGTGAAATACCATTGGTCGGAAAGCGGGAAAGGCGAGAAAACTGTCAATCTATTATGTTTTATGAGAGCGATTAGATCTTCATGGAGTCGTAACTTACTGCACTTTCTCACAATAAAAAATAAGCCGTCCACATCTGGAGTCAGAGTTGAGTGCGCGTATTACTGATGTTTTAACAAAGTTCCAGTCTATTTCTGGTTAAATTTTGAACTAAAGAGGAAGCAGGAAATAGCAGTTGAAAGTATGTTAATGAAGCAAGACGTACTTGTCGTGTTGCCGACTGCATATGGGAAGAGTTAAATATTACAAATGTATGTGATTGCAAGCGGGCAACGAAACAACAAGAAGGCGTTTGCCCGTTTACCAGCATCATCAAAGAACAGACTGCCAAAGCAAGATCACCTTGAATCAAGTGTGTGTCCTTGCTAGACATTACCTTTAACGGCTTTTCGTCGGCAAAACTTTATCAGTAACGGATATCGCGCCTGCATGTTGTTATAAAAAAGATTCAGTTGGCTTATTTTTTCTGCTGTTTCTGGGATAGAAATGAAAAATTTGCAGAGATCAGAGCAGGTTCACTTTCTCGTCTCGCAGCTTCGCCACTCGATTTCGCGCTCGCGGCTACACCGCGCATGCTTGTGCTCCAACGTGAGCCTGTTCGCAGGCTACAAAATGCTTGGTCTTGCAATTTATTACAACGCTGCCGTGCAGCAGTCATATTACAGTCTTAGATCACCGTTGCTATTCCGACTGAGTTATGAGACTAGACGGTAGGAGCTATTCGGAAGTAATCAAATGGTGAACCGTGATTTCGAATTCAAATCTCATCGAGATTACGTACGCTACTCGGACCTACTTTTGATCATCGATTGACGTCACTATAGCAACAAAGAAAACTTTGAGACCGCCATATTTGATGTACCAAACGAAAAAGTTTTGCAGAAAGAAGGCAGAAAAATATGGCGTTTTTTTGCAATCGAACATTTCGTACTGCGTGATAACAATTTCAAGGAGGAATTCATCCAGACAGGTTGATAAAAGGTATACATAAGCCGTGAGGAAGGTGTAATAATCAATTTTAAGGTAGTGGTAGCTCGTAACCTAGCTATATAGAAGCTTAAACTAAAGTATTAAGCTTACTAAATATACCGACTAAATGTTGTTCGCACGAGTTTTCTAAATGAAGGAAAGATCTTTTAAATGAGTGCTCAAATCAGTTCGACGTCATCAGTAAAGGTTCTTTGCAAATCTTGAGGCACCACGGCTAGGAACTCGTTTGTGTTTCTACGAAACCTTGCTTTGGAGACGTGACGTACAGACTAAAGAGAGCCCACGGAAGAGAGCACGATAGAAGAGAGTAAATGCTTATCTTCTGACTGTTGTCATGGGACATTCCATTCTATTTTTATGGGCTGGTTTAAGGACAAGGCCAGGACAATGAAACTTTTGGGCCGGCTGCAGGAATGATGAAACACATCCAACAACCCGTGTCTATAAATTATACTGTGCTAGCTGATTAAATTTACCCCTGCTAATGCGTAGGCTTAATTTAATGAGGTACTTTTGTGAGTACATCCAGTACATGTACTTCTGAAAGGACACAAATTCTCAATTTTTTGGACATGTCAAAGTTTGACAAACTTTGTTTCAGACATTGGAAAGTGAATTGGAAAGGATGGTTTTCAATTGCTTCTTAGATTCACTGGAGAAGAGCTTTTTGATCATTGCTTATGAACATCCTGGCATAGTCGATCGAATGTTCAGAAATTGAGCTCTATCCATGGATTTGAGTTCTGAACTCATGGATTGAGTTCAATTAAGTTCTGCAATCAAACGAAATCGAACACTGAACCAAATTGAATCAGACTCAATCGAACAAATCAAACTCAATTCAACTCAATCCAATAGATTGCTGGATTGAATTTGGCAACCAAACTCAATTGAACACAGTCCAGTAGATTGTGGTTGGTGAATAAATTAGCGTGAGAAATGATCATTTTTTTTTGGTCTCAAAAACATGAATAACATGTGTTATACCATTGATAGTAACTTGAGCCTCAAAAAACTTGTTATAACTATTGATTTTCAACACCAGTCAGTTCATTGTGGGAGGCACAGTGGCCTCATGGTTAGTGCGCTCGACTCCAGAGTGAACAGTCTGGGTTCAAGCTCTGGCCAGGGACATTATGTTGTGTTCTTGGGTAAGACACTTAACTCTCACAGTGCCTCTCTCCACCCAGGTATATAAATGGGTAGCGGTGAATTTATTGTTGGGGGTAATCCTGTGATGGACTAGCATCCCATCCAGGAGGGAGTAGAAATACTCCTAGTTGCTTCCTGCTACAGAAACCGGGATAGGTTCCAGCCTGATGAGCCACTTGGCTCGTACCCATGGTTTGGACATCAAATGTGCGATTGAGTTTGATTGTTCAATTATTTTTGTGTGAGTTTGATTTCAGGAGGCGTGGTGGCCTCATGGTTAGTGTGCTTGTCCCTGGAATGAGCGGTCTGGGTTCGAGCCCTGGCCGGGGACACTGTGTTGTGTTCTTGGGCAAGACGCTTAACTCTCACAGTACTTCTCTTCACCCAGGAGTATAAATGGGTAGCGGTGAATTGTTGGGGAAACCTAACAAATTGCGGGGGAGTGGCCTGCAATGGACTAGCGTCCCATCTGGGGGGAGTAGAAATACTTCTAGCTGCTTTATGCTACAGAAACGGAGATAAGCTCTAGCAGTTATGAACCATCGGCTCCAAGGCTTCACTTTTGATTTTATTTGATTGCCGAACTCAATCTGACTAAATCCATGGATTGAGATTTGGTTTGATTGGGTTTGATTGACTATGCCAGGAAACATTTATGAAACCACTGAAATGTGTCAGATAATATGAGGTTTAATTGTTAGCATGTTCAGAAAGAATATAGAGACCTATGATTGTATATTCATGCGAAATTCCAGTTGACTTGCATGTTTGCTCCCCTTTCTTTAACAACAGCATTTATACATTTACAATTCTAAAATGGAGTTCAATTAGTTAGAAAATTTTATTGAGTACAAGTATGTGAATTTTATTTTGACCCATTGACTCCCTGAGGTTTTTGCCAAAAACGTATTTTTTGGACATTTTGGAGATTTTCAGGCTGGATATGGGCCAGATTAGCTCCAATCTACTCAAAAAGACATTTGCAACAGGACAGCATGCCTTTCTTTCCATGAGCATCATGTTTTATGACATTTTTGCCCAAAGATGCGCAGAAATCAAAATTTTTAGTTTTTGGATGAGGAAGTGACCTACATCTTTAGGCTTTTTGATTTTTAAATTTTTTTTCGCCTTTCCTTTTTCTCCTTTTCTTTTCTTTTTGCTGCAGTTATTCACCTTCTACTGGGCTTGCTTCCAGTTCAAAAAAGTCTGAGAAAGCATCATTGAGATGGGCAATTTTTACCATGGAGTAGCTACGTGTAGTTGCAGGAAATTTCGCAACTTTTTGAGCATTTTTGTGCATATTTCAGGCTCCATTGAGCCGATCACTCTGATCTGGGTATCATTGGAAAGATCTTTTCCTCCTGCAGAAGCTGAGCATAGTTGATGCCAAGTTTGGTCAAAGGTGATGATGTCAGAAGTGGAACAAAGGCCAAGGCTCGTCATTGCCGGTTACGGGCGGCATGGGAGTCAATGGGTTAAGGACATAGAAAGATTACATGCAATCATAGCATAATAAGTCTAGTATGTAAAGGCCATGACCAAATTATATGTAAATGTATACAAGCTTGTGGTAGCCACTGTGCAGATAGTGACTACATATCAGTTGTTTTCTGGCATGGAGTGACCAACAGAACATTTTACAACTCAACTAAGACAAGGAGGGGTATAGAATGGTCCTTGAAAAATTAATGATGGGTCTCAGCAAATTTTCAGCAACGCTCAAAATCTTAGCATTTCAAACTAGAGTTATGGAATCTCAAACTCATAAAAAATAAAGTGGGTCTCGGAGTCTCGTATTTTGAAATTTGAGTCTCGGAGTCTCCCTAGCCAAACAAAAGTTTAGTCTGAATTAACTCATAAACAACAACGTAAGAGGGCCCAACATCGCAGTCGCTGCTTTGAAACATGTTGACTTAAATAAAATCTGCTTGTAAAATTGCCGTAATGTCTTGCGGCAGCGTTCGTAAAAATCTCATGATTTTCATAACTGATTGTGTTCGTGCATGAAATTATGTCAGAATTATGCTTGGCACAGCTATATAGACTATACAGAGTACATTTGCCACATTTTGTAATGCCGCAGGCTTTTTGGGTCTGACGACAGAATGTATGTGTTGGGGACACGTTATTTTAAAGGCTGAATTTTAATCCACGTTACATGAGACAACTTTTCTAAACATAACTTTAATTTGTTGCTGCAACGGTTAGGAACAGTATGTTACATGGGATGTTTTTTAACAGTGACAACATTGCAAGTATTTTTATCCATGATGGATTGTTTTAATAAGTTAATATAAATTTTAATACAAAGCCAACCGGTTCCCATTTATTTCGAGCTGGTACATGTATTTCTAGTGCAAGGCACAGAGTGCTGTAAAAGTCTTGCACTCAGATTTTTAAATCGTGGCACCTCGGGCTCACATTTTAAAATCAAATTTGAGATGATGGCCTAGGCGTCTCGGCGAGTCTCAGATTTTACCATTCTATACCCCAACAAGGGAAGACCATTGAAATAAATTAACCGTAATTAAGCAGTTGATGTTACTTTAAACCAGTTACATGTATTATAAACAACTGGTGTGAATGTTCACAGTCAGGTTTATTACACATCTATACTGTTTGTAGATGTCCATCAGAAATGAACAAACTCGCCTTACAAGCTCAGCAGGAAAACTGCCTCGCCTTCCACCCATCACAGCACCTACCTCTCCCAGCTCAAAGTTTGACAAGAGTTATCTCAGAACGCACAGAAGAAGTGAACACATGCAAGAGCTCTTGACAAGCAAACTGTAAGTGATTTGTAGCTACAACTCAAAATAATTATATTATCACCTATTGACTTTTTGTGCCTTTAATTACAATAAAGAAGAAATTTTTTGAGAAACTGCAGAACAGTACTGTACATTGTACATGTAGTTATTAGGTAACTTCACATCATTTCACTCCTCACAGGAATATATGAACTCAATTGATTGGCCTTGCTCCCAATGTGTGGCTTCATAGCTCAGTCGGTAGAGCATCGCACTGGTATTGCAGAGGTCACAGGTTTGAATCCTGTTGAAGCCCTGATTTTTTCAGGCTTC